CCTTCACTTTCTCGAAATCCTTCGCCTCAAGACTTGCCCTGCCGGAGGCTGTCAATCCTCCACCAGCAACGATAAACTTTGTCCGAGATCTTTATGCGAACGTACCTTTTCTAACGACCTCGTAACTTCGACGATCTTGATGGAGAATCAATACAGCTATATTGCTGGAAGCAGAGAGTAGAATTCACTGACGTCTCGTTTTAATTTATAGGAGTATCACGAGATGCTGAACTGATGAGAGGACCAGACGATGACTTCAAGAACGATGATGGCGTGATGAAATGCATAAGAATCGAAGGTACAAACGACGAGCTGAAGAATGAAGAACTTTGATGAAGAAATTAGATGCTTCTATATTTGTTTTTTTTAACCACTAAAAAAAATAATTTATATACTATATTTAATGAAATGATTTGATTAGTTAGAAAATTGATTTCGAAAGTTGGATACATAGGAGGAAAAGAAATGAATATTTATATAAGGCAATTTCTTTGAAACGAATAAAATCCATTGATATCCATCGGATATCGGATTTATTAATTGAATGCATAAGAAAGTGTAATTATTCGATCTATTTCAAACATCGCGGAATCAAAACAATCAGGCAATCAGCACACTGGCAAAAAAAGGGAGAAGGAATAACCGATAAGTTTAATAAACGACGAATAAAATAAAAATTTTTTCCAATCTTCGATTATATTCGAATTATATTCCAATAATCCATTAATAAATTAGATTTGACGTTCTTTATTAAAAAAAACAAAGGATATCATTTTAAAAAATATCACGTACTATTTTTCAAACGATATAAAAGATTCGGATTCTAAAATTACAACTGTAACTAAATAAACTCTTTTACGATCCCTTTCAAACCAGTAAAAACGTTACAATCCTTTTTACAATCATGGACGTTGATACATGATGTCGTTTCACATCTCACATCAGCTTTTCCATGTTTACACTGGAAAATTTTATTCACTCACCATCTTTTATACATCTCGCATACATCTCGATTTCAAAGCACAAAATTTTTTGTATTTTGGAGGTGGAGTACACGAATTGAATCCAAGAGAATAGATTGTTCGGAAAGGGTGAAAAGCAGTGAAAGTTGGGTATCAATAGTCGTTCTTTTTTTCGTACACATTCTTACGAGAGCCACATAAGCCAGGTGAAACTCATATGACCAGTACACGCGTTCTCCCTCTAGCTATCGACCGTCATTCATAATTCAGCCGAGTCGATCCTGAATGGAGGCCTGTTTTATGAAGCATTACGTAGGTAACTATCGCCGAATTAAAGAGGAACTTCTATATATTTTGTTTGGAATATTTGATCGATCAATTATCGAATACGAAATAAATAATTCGAGTAGAAGAATCGTGCAAAAATATTGTTGCTGTTGTTTGAAGGTGTTTGTTTGAACAGTGTAGTATTAATTTCATTTTCAAATTGTCATCGCGTGACTTGAGTTGGAATTTAATACGAGAAGTGTTTGTTATTTTAAAGAATGGTAGAGTATGTGCATGTTTGAATGTTATTTGCAGATGTTTGACAAGGAAAGTATATATTATCTTAATATATTTTTACGTTTTTTTATATATTCTTAAAAACATTTATAATTTAAAAAATTATAATAGAATTATTTAAAATAATTAGTGAATAAATAGGAATAGCTAAAATAAGGGATTTAAAATAATATCATAAATAAAATCTATTTATCATCTCTTTTTATCAGATATGATCATTATTTGCATAAAATATTTAGAAGATTATTTTTAATTGTATTTTAACATTATTAAATCAATTATATTAGAATAAATTCAAAGACAATCAATCTTTTATGCAAATAATCACAAGATTATAATAAAAATTTTATTTCAGAATAAATTAATTCAAATGTAATAATTATTTAATTTATTTAATGTTCATTTAAAATGCTGTTGTTCTATATAATTTTTGAAATAAAATATTTATTTGAAAATGATATATATAACTCCAATTTAAGACAAAGCTACTTTATCTTATATTATTTCCATAATATTAATATATAAATATAAAATGACATAAATATAAAAATATTATATCATAATATAAATAATAAATCGGAATAATCCATTTTCTCAAATCGTTATTCATTACCTTTATGTCAATTAAAATCTATCCAAGTCTGGTTTATACTAACAATCTGCAATCTCAAGATAAACGTCATTAAATTATCCTCGATATTGCAGTCTTCGCAAGATTCTAAAAATATACGTAACGAAGACACTCTTGTTCCAATTAAAAGCCTTATTCTTATATACGCTATAGAAAATCATCGTATCCACTGCTCGTATTCTCCATCGTAAGATAAACGTCGTTAAAGCAATCTTTCGTTTCAAGTACTAACGCGACGATCGTTAACCTCGCCTCGTAAACCATGAGTGCATACAGACAAAGAAGACATTGCGATAGCGAGAACGCGTTCTTCGCAAGACAATCATCCCCTCGAGCATCGTTCTACACTATACAGAATATTCTCTGATGTAGTCAATCAAATTGACGTAAAGCAAACATTCGTGTTGCATAATATTTCATAATATTGATCGTAGAAAATAAATGTCAATCAAATATTTTGTTAACAAAATTTTTATAAATAAAAATTGGTAAAATTTAGTATTGGTAGTATTAGTCAATTTAGAATAAAAAATTAAAAGATTAATTTATTTATGATGAATTTTAACTTTATAAAATAATATTTCTTCATGGTTTTTTTTTATATGTAGTTTTTTAAATACTTTAGAATTCCAAAATTTTTGAGATATTTTTCATTAAATTCTTTATTTATCCATTAAATTTTTTCGATAACAATTGAAATAGTAATAAAGATATTCAGAAATGAAATTTCTCATCTATAATTATAAATTCTAAGATACTAAAAAGAATTAAAAAAAAAGTAATTAAAACTTTACATCTTTCTTTGTTTTTAATTTAAAATTTTATTTAATTTAAATTCTAAAAATAGAAGGTAATAAAAATTCGAAACTCTGAAAATTATTAAATTTTTAAAACTTTAATTTTTTTTAACTTTCTTCTTTTATTTCAATTTTATGGAATATTCGAAATTAAGAAACAATAATCTTTCATCTATTCTATATCCAACAAAAATTCTTCTTAATTCTGTTCAGTGTTAATATTTAATTATGAAGAATTAAACTTAATAAAAATCCAAATAAAATATATTCAACTCTATAAATACTTTTTATACACTAATAAAAAGTGTAAATAGTTCATGTTTTCAATGCTTCTTTCATTCTGTTATCATGCTCTTTATCAGATTAGTTTGAACTGAAATAAAGTGATCTATAGTAACCCTGAACATGAAAATTATTGCTGTTTTTAAAATAGACAGTGTATATCCATAGAATATTATATTATATATTGATAAAATGCAATAAGTCAATGATTCGCGATTGAAATCAAACGAAAATCTTGTTGATGAAAGCTCGAGTTAAACAAATATCTGCGCATTTATTCGGTGATGGTCACCGAACATTTCAAGTCTCTTATATAAAAACTTAGAGCTTAATGAAGCCTCGACCTCGGATTTAAAAATCACGTAAAGATTTACTTCTGTCGTTTCCCTTGTTACCTTGTAAATGTCTTATCGTCAACGGTCTTCAATGGCACGTGACACGATCACGAAAAGGTCTTTCTTTTTTCCATATTTTTCTGTTTGATAATAATAAATGAAAAATTAATTATTCGCATTATTTTTTTATCATCATATTATTTAAATATCTGAACTATATTGATAATAATATCGAAAATAATATATTAATTAATAATAAAAATATATTAATATTAAAGGTAATAGAAATATTTAATAATTGATATTGAAATTCTAAAATCTTTAATAAATAATAATAAATTTCTGGAATTGCATAAATTTGATTTAATATATAATAAATAACATGAAAATATTTTTATTAATTATTTTTATTAATATGCTGATTAAAAATTTATGTCATCGATTTTGAAGAACCTTCGAGATAATGATTTTTCTACATATATTTCATTTTAATGAGATATTCGAAGTTACCTTCAACTTTTATAATCTTTATCTAATAATTAGCATAATTATGAGAGATATTAAATTATGTATAACACTGAAAATGGATTATAAGATACTTATAAAACTTGAAAGTAAATCGTGAAAATTTAGGGAGGGAAAAAAAAGAAAAAAAAGATATAGAAAAAATCAAAAAATCTCTCAAAATGATAAAAAAAATGGCAAAATACATTGTTTCCATCTTATATAGTATTCCAAATAAGGAATACGAATAGAAATTATAGCTAAACCGAGAATAATGTTATTTCGCAAAGAGAGTTCCGTTTTCGACGGGATTTAAATTTGAAAACTTGTCGAGCATGCTTGTTACGAGAAACGGCGAAACTTGTCCCGCGAAGAATAGTATTCTTTTAACTGAGAACTGTAAAGAAAGTGTACCCAATTAAGAGAGAAAATGGTTGGAACGTTTGAAGAGTTGCAAAACTCGGTCCACGTTTGCATTGCGTCTTCAAATTCTATAAATACAGTTTGATATATAAAAATAGATGCAGAATTTTTTAACAAATTCCACGAGATGAATGAAAAAGGAGACCTGGTTCGTTTTGAAGCAAGATTCTTTAATCATACTTTGGCCGAGTACGTGTGCACTCGACGTCGTTTCAAAGTAAATCGTGTGGAAAACGAAATTCTATACAGGTATATATATACAAAAAAAAAAAAAGAGATAATTATTCTGTCGTTTCGACTCGTTATGAAAAATTACACCGCGTTATATTTTTATATGTTATTTATTGCACGGATAGAATTATTAAACATAAAGTTCAAAAATAAATTAAATTTAGATTTTTTTCTGCGCGTGATTTTTGTGATTATGTTATTCTTATCGTTTATCATAAAGAAAATCTTTACACTATCTTGATTAAAAATGTTATTTTTCAAAGGAATTGTTATTTTCAGTTTGCTGATAGAACACGGTATACAAAAGCAAACTAAAAGGAGTAGGTAAAAAGAATTCTTTACTTAGCTGCTTTAGATTTTCAAGATTAATGAGAATCTCAATGAAAATAGCTCAGAAGAAAAGACAAGCAAAAGTCAGGACAAGTTGTTAAGTAGAAGGGTACTATTTCTTTGGAGATTGTTAACAAGATATGCAATATAATTATTTAATTGGATTTATTTTGTATTTTTTGATACTATAATTGATAATTATCTCAATACAAAACAATTTTTATTATATTAAATTAAAATATATGAAATTTCGTTTTTTTAAAGTTTGATAGAAATTGATAGACTATCTCACCGATTCAATTTTATTTTATTTTCAATTGTTTGTTATAAAGACAAAGAAATGTGTTATAAATTAACTATATGTTAATATTAAAAATTTATGATAAAATTTAGAAAAGATTAAAGATATGTTAACATGATTTTATTATCTACACCTTATATATAGAACTTATAATTTTCTCTAATCACATTGTAATTTGCGAGTTGCGATTATATTATTAACTGATCGACTAGATAACAATAAGTCAAGAAAATTACATAAACCGTTAATTTTCATATATGAAGGTAACAATATCGACCAAATGAAAAGTAGTACCATTTACGAGGAAGTATTTTTACCATTTCGATACTTTTCGACCTACAAATTTGAAAACTTTCCAGTTTTGCAAATACAATAAGAAAAACGAAGAAAGAAAGATGAAGAAACAATTTCACTGTATTTTATTCGAAACTTAAATATTTTCACTATCTTTCATTTAGAGATATAAAAAATATTTAAAGAACAGAAAAAGGAAAAATTTTTCACTTCTTATTGCGAACCTAATAACTTAATAAAGAAGAAAGAAAGAAAAATAAATCGACAATTTTTTTATCAGACACGTCACACAGAAATTCTAAATATTTTTTATCGCATATTCTACGTTTTGAATCTTTCGAAGTGGAAAAATATTCAATGGGTGTACGATAATGGACAATTTACACAGAATGAAATGCAATCAATTCCCAAGGCGATTTCGATCAAGCCACACAAATCATTTTCGTGCACGCGCCGTCCAAAAGCGAATTAATCTACGTGGCTGACTTTATTAAACCTTTAAATCACGTTATCGCTACCGTCCCGCTTTCTGAATTTTGCTCTATATAGCAAAAGTTATTACACCCTCCATAGGGCAGCTTTTGCATAGTGGCTCAATTAATGAGAAAAGTTTCCGGACCAAGGGATTTCATTCGCCTCATCGATATTCTTTATTCCTATAGACGCGTTCCAACCGGCGCATAATCAGGTATCTGACTCTAGCGAGCGATAAAAATATCGAATGAATCGTTTTCGTTCGTTTGAGAGAAAGCGAGACAAAAGAAGAAAAATAGAAAAGAAAGGAAAACTTAAATGAACGAAGAAGTGCGCATTGAATTAAAAGTGTTCGATAATCGAATCGTTTCTTGATCGCGTGCCAGTAATTTTGTCGCATTTCAATCTCAAATATTAGGTTAGAACGGATGAATAATGAGAAAATATAAAGGAAAATAAATAGAGAAAACAAATTATTTCGAGAGCTCTTCCTATGAAACCTAATCACGATTGTTTTGAACTTTTTGAAACATAGTAGTTTAGAAATTATCGCACTCCGATATGCATGATAAAATATTTTTCATTCCCTTGAAAAATTTAAATAATTAATCGATTTATTTAGAATTTTTTTATACTTTCAAAGAATTAAAGGCGTATCGACAAGAAAACATTTTTTTAAGAATTCGAGGGCCATTTAATTATCGTCACGCGAACGATACCAATTCCTCTATATCATGCTCAACACAATATTTCGTTTTTTTTTGCCTATTATTTAATTTCCAGTTGAACGATCACATTCGAGGAACGTCAAATCTGTCAGTTATCGTTCATTCGTGAACTTGTTCGACGATGCGAATTTACGTGGATGACAAAACGAGCACCGAGAAGGGGCGAATGAACGGAAAACGGATGGAAGATGGTAGAAAAAAAAAAAAAAGGGGAAAAACGCGTCGATGGTATATTTCTGGCGATGCTCTTCAATTATCACCAGAGCAGGAACAAACCAGGGTTCGCAAAAACATTGGTTGTGTTGCGATGCTGGCTTTTCTATGTGTAACTAGCGTCACACCGCGATATAAGCACGGTACACGGTACATGGATACGTGTATAACGAGAGGGGAGTGGAGGCGTGGGTGGTTTGCCTTGTTTAGTTAACCGAATATTTGCCCAATGATGCGCATGTCGTGATAAGCTGACGGGAGCACACAGATAGGAGCCGAGTCAATGTACATCCGGCGTCGATGTACGTGTATCTATGTATTTTCCGCTCTCCCCTCGCCTCGTGACATCAATTTTCGAACAGATGTATGCGCGCGCGCGCGTTGTGTGTGTGTGTGTGTATGTGTGCATGGAAAAATGTGTGCGAGTATGTATCAAAGGAAGCCGAACGTGGCCCACACTATGAAAAGGGGGATGAAAGAGTTCAGTTAGAGGAAGTGGAGGAAGCGGGTGTAAAGAGAGATGGAAAGGAGTAAAATAGAGGAGTAAGAGGGAATAGAACAAGACTGTTAAAGAGTATTAAAGAGAAAGAGAAAGAGAGAGAGAGAGAGATATGATGAAAACGCAACAACAACAAGGAGGAACGTAAAAGGAGAATACGCATTGTATCTATAGAATATATTCAGATATTCATTCATTTTTGATCAGATAAATGATTTCATTATTCGATCGTTCCATCTTCTTTTTCTGTATCCATTGAATAATGAAATCGAAGGGATGAATATTGGTGATCTTGAAAAATGCAAATGAGACTTAACCTTCTCCGCGTTCCCGCCGTTCGATGCTATCGAGCAATCTCGAGATTTTGGATGATTTAGCGCGAGGAAAATTAGAATTACGTAGTTCTGAAGCAAACGAAACCGTCGATTGAGAACACAGAAGAGTACCACGCGCGCGACATAGGCTATCTGCTAGCACAAGTACAGGGTGAACAGTCGGAACACATGAAGAAAAGGTAGCACATGAGGAGCGAGAGAAGTAGTAGCGAATGTAATATGTATATCTGGTCCATTTAAGATTGTCGCGATATGAATGATAACGTGATTTGCGACCTAGCCACTGCCATCTTTGGCCGATATTTGTGCATTAATCGGCTGAAGAGACCATCGAACCACGTACCTCCTCGATTTCATCCTGATCTCGTGCACCAGCTCCGCCAGTGCCTTGGACGCTGCCAGTCTTCGGCTGGGTCTGCCCGTGCTCGCGCCACTTTTACCACCTCGATCTCGAAAAAGAGATGATGACGACCAGAAAGTGTGAGAAAGAGATAGAGACACGTTTGTGTGTGTATATGTGTATGTGTGTGTGCAAGACCAGGACAGAAAGCACAGCGAGAGAACAGAGAGAACAGGCAGGCAGAGGCACAGAACGAGAGAGACGGGCCGAACGAACGAGATAGAAACGATGGAGGCACACACTGAAACCAAGGGGATGTTCACACTTGTGGTAGAGACGTTCTCTGCCCTTCACGGTTTCTTCGTTCGCCCATCACGCCGGACACATCTCTCTCTCCGATTCAACGATCGAACGTTGAACCTCAGAATCACGTTCTTCGTGATCTGACAACGAGATCTCAGATGAGAGCAGCTCGAACGAGACGCGGCTGTCACCACGTAGAGCGCACATTTGCGCTCGGCCGACCCGAGCTAGGCTTTACTACTACCGTCTGAATCCGCTTCTTTCCCTCGGCCCGGGAGTCGAAGCGTCGATACCACGACGACGCTTGCGCGCCACCCCCGATCCACCCTTTCCCACCCGGGCATTTTCACAGCGCATTGGCTCGAAGCCTGCCGGCGCGACGCCACGGCGCCCTGCACGAACAAAGTCGTTCCTCCTCGCACATCGTCCCCGAAACACCCGAAAATCCACACATTTTCGGCCAATTCTCGCGCCTCCCCCGTATTCTCCCTTCCCCGATTTCCTGAGAAGCTTTTTCCCTCTCACTTTCCCTTTTTTTCTCGAATTTCATCGCTGGCCTGGAACGTTGGTCGGTTGTCGACGCGCTCGACACGTGCTCTGGCAATGTCGGTCAACGGGGCTGTTTCGTCACTCTACGCCGAAGCGGGAAGTCGCCCGCCTTTCACGATTTCAATCGCAAAACTGCTTCGTGTCGCAGCTGCGTCACACATCTCTACTCGCTTATTATCTCGTTTTTCTAGTGGAAACGATGTCGAGAGTCATTCAGCTCGGGTATTTTTGGAAATTTTCGAATATCTATAATGAGCAGATTAATATAAGGGAGAGAGAAGAAAAATAAAGATGAAGATTTATTGTAAGTGTGGAGAGTCAATTGTCATAGAAAAAATAATTTGATCGTTTGGAAGATGTTATTTAATTTTGAGGAAAATTCTGAAGTGAAATTTGTTGATTTAGAGATATTATTTTACGAGAAAATACGATATAGGTACAGTTGAAATAATAGTTTGATTTATTAGGAGCGAATGGAAATTTATGTTTTTCATTGAACAGCTGTCCGTTCGGAGAACAGGTGATTAATACCTTGCATGCTTTTATGCACCAATAAGGTGTCACCAAGCTCGATCCTCGACATGTCTACAGATTAAAATCCCATTATGCAAATTATCCGTAATAACTTCGTTTGCATTCGACTACCTGACCGAGAACTTCTCCACATATTTCTGCCAGATAGCGATATCAATGACTTAGTGAACACGACATTCATCAATTTTGTCCTTCATTATCCATGAATGATATAAATACATATGTTGAATTCGCTTAGATCGTTTTATTTATTTCGCAATAAATCTAAGTAATATACGTACATATGCTAAATTAATATAGGAAAATTAACGAATAAGTCATTCTAATAAATTATATTTGATATATTTTTTTTATTTCAATAATTATATTTATCATATCAAAAATTCTTTTTAATTCTGAATTCTTTCTCAATCTGGTATTATTTACAATAATCTGCATCATATACAAATAAATATGAAACTCATAAATGAAATAAATAGAATTTAAATAAATATTTCATTCATTTATTGAATACTATGCTATATTAAATAACAATGTATGTTTTTCTTACAATATTTTTATATTTTTGCATATTATGTAAAAATCTTCTAAAATGTTTTGTATATTTAAATTTTCTATTAATGCATAAACATCTGTACATTTGCATATACATCGTTAAAATAAATAAACCAATTTTAATGGTATATCTATATAAAAAGAAATAAATCGTCATAATAGAACGATGTGAATTAGTTATTCACAATAAAATGCACATCAAAGATTGAAAATAATGAAATTTTAAAACTAAAAGACACCGAGAAATCGAAGTTATACATCGTCCATGTCAGCTTAAATCGAAAACGTGATTCTTGCGATATCCTACATTTAATTGTTCCGGTGAGTGAAAAGTGAGGTACGTGAAAACGACCTTTCCACCTGAACCTGACTCTTGTGGGTATTACATAGCACTCCATGACCCGTAAATAACAGTCTATTGACTGGTGTAGCATGATGATGATCGTATGGAGAACAACCTTTATCCGGAATCTCGAAGGATTTACTACTGCTGCAATTGCACAACGCAACAATCCCATTTGTACGATCTGTAGTTTGAGTATATCTATCCGTAGATCGAAACAGAGTGAACCGGAAAGAAAATGGTATAATAGAAAATTTAAAATTGCTATCTATCTATATTGGTTGCGTGATTTATGAATCTATTATATAGATAAAAAATTTGAAACTTGATGGATTATATTTTATAATATTTAAGTTGGATCTTCTGATCTCTTTTCCTATATATTTATGATTAAAATAATCTGTAGTTTTCAATTTTTATTATTATCGATTCGATATAATGGCTGATTTTAATGATTCTTCATTAAACGAGTATACGTGAGCGAATGAAATTTACATTAGAAATTTACTTGAACTTGTTTAATAATATTGTTACGGTTTTATGAGTATTTATTCGATTAAATTTGCTTTCTGGTTAAACATTTTCAAATTCGAAATTGTTACATTGGTAAACTATTCGTGAAATTTTATAGTTCATTGTGTATTTCTGATTATCAAATGAATAATTTATAACATTGATTCGTTATCAATGTTAGAAAGAGGAAATAATGAAGTTGCTATCGATTGCTGATTTTAATGATTCTATATATATATATATTACTCTTTTTATAAACGTACATTAAAACTATGTATTTTTTTAAATATCTTCTTTATAATTTTTTTTTTGTTGAAAATGAAAATTCAACTGTTATTATATTTTAATCATAATAAATCATTTCTTCCCATTCTTCGTATAATCGATTTTCTATCGTGAGAGATATTGCAATTTGCAAAGTGAGAACGTAACTGCTTGTGTAAATTCAATTTTCACCCTAGCAAGCCAGCTAGAGTATCTTTTAAACGGTCATTATGCAAATCTAATTGAAAATTCGACGCGCGAGAGCGACCTCGACGAAGGTTTCTCTTCGCTCATCGTTGGACATAAATAACCGATGCGAAACACGCGAGTGAGAGCCAATGATAAAGTGAAACCACTTTGTAAGATGCACTTCGTCGAGATAACAGGAACGCGAGGTACGTGTACTGGACTAGATATATGCTGATTCAATTATTTTTGTCATGTTGCAAACCACCTAGGTAGACAAGACTATACTCACTAACTTTATTTTTCAATTCTTATTTATCATTATCCAATATCAGAATTATCAAATTAAAACTGATGAATTTCAGATTTTTATTTTTATAATTTCTAAAAATTATTAATTATTCCTTTAATCCTTTTGAAAATAATGAGTATTAATTTTTATTGAGATGCAAAATATAATTCTGCATATTTGTATATTTTGTTCTTTCATTTATTATATTTATTTGAAATATATTTAAGAATATTACAGATAATACAGATAAAATAAGAAATATTATGTATATTCCAAAATATCTGAAAAAAATCAAACATATATATACCAATTTATTAAGAGATTAATAATTTATATATAATTTTTTAAATAAATTAATATTATATTATATAATTATATAATATAAATATATAATATAATATAATATAAATATATAATAATTATATAATATAATTATATAATATAATATAAATTAATATAATATTATATAATAAATTATTTTAAATAAATAAATTATTGAATTTGATTGAAATATTTATTTTAAGATGATTATTTTAAGATGATCTAATCTTATTAAGTACACGTGCCAAAAGTGGATAATTTTACTAACGTTGTTATATAGAACAATATATAATTATATAAACAGAGAATTACTTTTCGATGAGTCAGTATTATTTGGTCGATATAGTGTATTCATGACGTGGAATTGACGATCGTGTAATTCAGTATAGACAAGATCTTGCTGGGTGACCTTACCGAAGCCTCATCCCAGCGTCGTTCTATTCAAATCAGATAGAACCTCCTTTCATCCACTCACGTTAGACAGGCTGATTAAGTCTTCCCTAGTGCTATTTTCGTGCTCTTGATTAAAAAACAGTAAATTCACATGCACGATTCGCAAGAGGCCTTCGGCAATATTGCAATAATGATGAACGAAGATTTTTTTGCGTAGAACGAAAATTCTAATCAACATCTATGAAATTACATTATTTGACATGACGCAGATATTTTTTTACTATTTGCGAAGGACATCGACATAATATTACCTTATGATCGATTATGAGAGCTTGGCAATGTATTCTGTATTTTTTTGTGAAAAATTCTTTCAGAAATTGTATCTAAGAAATAACATAAAATTATAAAAAATAAATGAAATGGAAATTATTAAAAACACAATAAAATTGTGTTGAAATATAAGATACAGTAAAGAAGAATGATTAGATTGGAATAGATTTGATGAATTGATCATCTTTCATAAATCTTATCAAGAAAGAATTTCCTATAAGTGTTAAAATATTTTAGCATATAATTTTTGAAAATTAAAACTAAAATATTGTGTCGATTAAGATGTACAAAAAAAAAATTGGATATGTAAAATGATGTATTAAGATCATTGAAGGAATGTTCTTTTAACAAATTATATTTATTAATCTTGTTTTATCGAAAAATTAATACTCATATGACAAAATTAATTAAATATAAATATAAAATATTTTATTAAATATAAAACGTGCCTCATAACATCATTCGAAATCATAAGATTGTTATAATTAAAATAAACGTCCACTTCTAAAACATATGTACATAGACAAAAATAATCTTATTTTTTTCATTAAGCAACCTCAGAAGATTAGCATCTAAGGACGATGTGCTGGGTGCAACTGCACCGTCGAATGGAACTCTTTAAATTCCTGTTATCGTTCTATTTTTGTAGAAGCTTCCATGTATATACATCCACTCTGCGGATGCCTCCATTGTCTACCCTCAGACACGGGTTCTATTTATAATTCCATCTCTGTCGATCGAGAACATGGTTAAGAAGTGTTCCTCGGGGATCCCCCGAAACTCAGCAGGGACGCATCAGGCCAGATGGCGTTGTTAACTGACGCAATAGGGCGTTGAATCATTAAATTTGGCACAGTTACGTTTCATTCTGAAACGCGATACGCTCATTCTGAAACCGGTGGCCATTGTGTCAAATTGGTACATCTCTGATTAGAAACTTGCGCGACCGTTTCATTGTTGCTCGAATCTGTGTGGCAACTCACGTGCAACGATATAACGAAGTCGAACGATTTAGAGAAAATGTTTGTGCGCAAATCTAATCGATGGAAGGAGGCTATTACTAAAAAAATAGATGATTCTTTAAATGCTCCTTTAATTGTGAGCAATGAAATTTCATAAATTATTAAATTATTTTTTTTCTTCTTCATTTTATTAAAGAGAAAATATAATTTTTAATTAAAAAAAATATCACTTGGAATTTATAATGGAATTTATCTATCCATTATAATAAAAAATTGTTTATTAATGTTTATTTTAATACGAATAATATTTGAATTTAAAATGTTGGGATCATGATTATTTATGTTTCACTATTTCTTTTATTTATCATTAAACCTAAGATTAATTGAACGTCATAAAATTTTATTTTAATTTTGCGTCTTGTGTATTGGTAATTTATACATTATACAGAAATATTAAATAAACAAAAATATTTTCTTTTTGCATTAAGGCATAATTTAAGAAAGATTTAAAATTTTATGAATTTAATACAAATAATTTTCTTTCTTATAAATATTTTTAAGTTTTTTCATCAGAATTTGAATTTTTCTTTTCAGTAGATAAATTATTAAAATTTTAAAGCTTCATCTGTTATCAGTCAAATTTCATTTACTAAACTTCATAAAAAATGATATTACGAATATTAAAACGTAAAATCTACATACATTTACGTAGATATTGTTTAGATTATATAAGCAGAATTTGTATGAATTGTAAAGCGACCTAGAATAGTCAGTCAACGAACGGTTGCGCAAGATGCAAACCTTATCGCGGGATATGAAGGATATCCTAAGCTGTTGGAACGCACCTAACGCTTATTGATCTGCTCCTCTTGGGAGGAGGAGGAAGAGAGAAAGAAAGAGAGAGAGAGAGAGATCATGAGTCCAAAACGACGCTTCGCGGTCGTCGTGGATCTTGGATACAATGGTGACCCCAACGAAGGTCTCTGTCAAACGACCTCGACACTTGAAAGTGTGTCGAGGACATCAGGAAGAAGCAAGAAGACTAATAGTCATTGCTTAAATCCTTTGATGTGACTTAAATCGAACACACTCTATTTTCATGATCAATGTTGGATGATAAAAATCTTAATTAAAAAAAATGT